GTTCCTGTCAACAAATCCAAGGAGAATTAAGACCGTTTGTGTTTTTAAAAACGTGAAGTCCATCGTGGTGTGGTGAGAAATGTTATTTACAAGCGGAAAAACCTTAAAATCTTACATAAGGGAGAGTTGTGCAGACTTTAATAAACTAATATTATGTTATTGTTTTGCACAAATATGAGGGTTGATAAAGTTAAAACATCCAAATTTTTCAATATAATTTCTAGAAATTTGGTTTTTCTACAAGCTATCAAGTTACGATCTCTGCGTTTTTTTCCCCCAGCACTATATTGACAAGAAGGTAAACATTTTATTTTATCAAGTCCATTCGATGCTGTTGACTTGAATTTTTCCAGAGTTGTTCGGCGATCTCTTTCCCTGGCCGGTTTTGTCTGTGAAATAACGAATTACTGTATATTGGCTCCTCTTAATTGAACTGCAGGAACATAATGAGTGAAATGAGCTCAGCTGTTGCCATTAGCATTTCATGCTAACGTATTTCATCTTGAAAACTGCGCAGATGTTTCAGTTTTATTAAACCTTAATGTATTTTATATAAAAACTCTGCCTTACACTAAGGAGCTTGAGTTAGACTGTAAATAACACCTTATTATATCACCACATTCTGCATGCTAGGTGCTATGCTAACATTGCATTATGTTGAGTTGCTAGCTCTTGGTTAATTGTTATCTAACTGTGTCATGTTACAGATGTTGAGTTAGTTCTTCTTTTTCTTTTTTACCAGAAAAAAAGTTTTCCCTCTAACTGTAGACTATCTCTACTTTCAAGAATAATTTACTCTGTAGCTCAATTCTTCCAGATGCTAATACATTTTCCGCGGCCACCATACATGGTGATTCACACAAACTGCTCTGAATTCTCCAAGACTCTTGACGTTTAGCCTCAAAGTTCAATTTCATCAGCCTCTTCAAAGCATAATTAAAACTCCTTTCACCTAATGTCAAGTCGTTACTGTATTAATAAGCTTAGTTAAACAAAATAATGAAATAATCCAGGAGATTTTGATGGATCAATTTTGCTAAACATCTTAAAAGCATAAATGATTGATGGAGATGGTTATAATTTTATATAATTAATTACCTTCATTGGCCTTTTTTTTTTGTAAACACCTTTATGCAAGCTAAAGAAAATATTGAAAAGCGACTTCTCTCATCTCAGTGATGCAGATTGTGCCGCATAAAGTCAAAGCTCAACGGGATGAAAATGATGGAAATGTAAAGTGAATCAAAACCAGCAGCAGAAATCTTATTTTGAAGAAATTGAAACCTGTAATATCTGGAGTTATGTCAAAGTGGCTGTGATTTTAGTGTTTACCACCATCACTAGAAATGTTTACTTCCTTGTAGGGGAAATATTTATGCTCTCGAGCAACACAGAAACCTGGTTTGGAGGTAGTTAACTTTATGATCTGATGCTGCAGGGTCCAATCTTTACATAATGTAATCTTTGAAATGAACACGGCTTGAAAGCAGACCAGGAGAGGCTTCTAACAGCATCGCCGCCTGGCCAGCTCTGCTTTGCATTCTGTTCACTATCTCCACTGTTATGTCTCATTCTCCTCGCTGTGTTTTGCTGCAGTGCCAGCCTGTCCTCTATCTTCCCTCGCTCTGCTTTGATGATCAAGAAACTGAGTGTAATTCATGTTTGTCTCAGGCTTTCCAAACCAACTCGCCCTTTTGTTCTGTTTGTGAACCTGACACGCAGAGAGGACAGACCCACCTCTCCTAGGAGACTACATTTAAGGACAGTCGTTTGATTGATGTGAACACTTGAATGACAGTGTTGTTGAATGTTGTTGATGTGTGTGTGTGCGTGTGTGTGTTGCATCAGCTACGACAGGTCTCTCAGGCAAAGCGCTGGGACGATGTCGGGACGGGTAGGCGATCCGTCAGGCATTCGAGACTTGTTGAATCGCTGGATTTCCCCGATGAGGACTTTGGAGTGAACCTTGGAATAGTAAGTGTTACAATATGACGGGAAGTCTAAATATATTTATCGTCTTTCTGGCATGATGAAGATTTTAACACAGAAGCCACTACCATACAAAATTTGCCACTGTGTCCCGATACAACTTTTTAAAATCCCGATATGATACCCATATCGCAGCTATGAGTGTTGGCCGATACCGATATTGACCCGATACAATATCAGCACGAGTCATAGACGTTTAATACGTATTTCATAGCGTGAAATGTTAGAAAAGACTTGATCAAGTAGAACTACTGACCCATTTATTATGAACCAGTGGGTCTACTTTCAGGATACAAGTGCTGCTGGATTGAAATGCTGGGGGAGTGATTATACACTGCAAAAACACAACTTCTTACCAAGTAGTTTTTTTGTCTGTTTTTCAAGTCCAAATATCTTAAAACGGTTGAAATAAGACAAAACCAACTTACAAATAAATTTTTAGCAGGAAAATTTAAATATTTTCCTTGTTTTAAGTCAAACTAGACCTTAAAACAATATTTTAATATGGCTTAAGAAAAGTACTAGTTCTATTGGCAGATTATTTCACTTATAATAAGACATTTTTCCCATGTGATGTTCTTTATTTGGCTGATATCAGACCAATTTCTGGTATTGATCAATTGCATTTTTGTATGCAAAGCAAACACTTATTGCAATACGATTATATTCCTTTACATTTTTATTACATCTGAAAACTTAAGTTGGACTTTTTAGTGTGTTGGGCATTTGTATTCAGGTGTCTTCCTAGCATCTCCAGCTTTGACGCTGTTATCCCACAGCATGATGCTGTCACCACTATGTTTTAAGTGGATACTGTGTTATATTTCCACCACACCTCATGCTGTTCATGCAAGCCAGAAAGCTCAAGGGTAATGCACATTTTTGCAGTGCACTGTACTTATATCATGTCTTCATCTTCCCTGGTAAAGGATACCATGGCGATCAAAAAGCGGAGCTCCAGAACCAGAAGGATCCGTCCGGTCTCCACCAGAATGAGTGAGTCTTCTGCCTCTGTTCCATCTTGCTTTTGACGCAGCTGGGATCAAAGGAGAGTGAAGCAGAAGCAGAGGAATATTTGATTAATGTGCTGCAGGTCAAACGCGACAGGATAGAGAGATCTCTGTCCCAGTTAATTCCTGTCTCCCAGGTTTAGGTGATGAACCCAGTCCCTCTCCCACTCCCTCTGCTCCTTCCCACTCGGCGTCTCTCACTCACTCGGCCTCTTGGGAGTCCCTTTCCACTCTCCCCACCAATGGCTCACCTCTGCGTCACGTGACCCACGTCAGGCCACGCCCGCCGCGACGACACAGAGCTGCACACATTCCTCCTGAATCTGTGAGTAGACCCCTCTGATGTGACGTGCAAAAGAAATAGTCGCTCCCCTCCCGTTAAAGTTTAGTAGAATTTGTCATGTTACCTCCACAAACTGAATGTGTTGGGTTTTTTTTTTGTTTGTTTTTGTCTTCTGATATACAAACACAAAGTAGTGCATGATTAATAATCGGAGGGAAAATGGTTCATGGTTTCCAAAATTTAAGTCAATAAAAATTTCAAAAGTGTGTAGAATTCCAATGAGAGAGAGATCCGTTCTGTGACTCTCTGAGGTTTGAGAACATTAGCAAGCAAACAGCATCCCAAAGACAGAGAAACCTGGCAGACGGGTCAGGAATAAAGCTGTGAGGAATGGTTGGCTTATCGAAGAACTTGAACATCTCGCAGAGCTCGGTTCCGACCCGTCATCTCACATCAGCAGCCGAGGTGGGAGAATCAGCTGATACGGCAAGTATTAGTCGTGAACTCCATAAATTTGGCATTTGTGGAACAGTGGCGAGAAGAAAGCAAGGAACGCCTGTCCAGTTTCTATTTATTAGTATTCACCCTTCTTTGGATGCTTTACTCTTTTAATTGCGAAACAATTAATTTACAAAAAGAAATCTTTCAGTGTCCAAGTGAAAACAGATTTCTACAAGATAATGATATCTAAATGAAAATATGAAACATAAACATGTGATTACATAAATAATCACCTGTTTGTTTAATTAGGAGTGACTGACCTAATTAAACAGAGGTCCTTTCAACTGCAGCCAGTAGTGGAGATCAAATGAGACTGTGTCTATATAAAGTCAGCTGGTTGTGGAAGGTGCATTCAGTGGTTAATCAGACACTCCAAGCAAATAAGTATAAGTCAGGGGATGGGTACAAATAAAAAAAACCTAAGAACATTGTCTGGATTTCAGAGGCTTGTAAAAGTAGGAGGTAAAATGAGTAAAAGCAATCTGTTTCGATCTGCAACAGAACCATGACTTCAGCAACAGAGCAAACCTGAAACGTCCAACTAAATGGTTTGAAGAGAAGAAGGTGGATGCTCAGAAGTGGCCTAGCCAAAGCCCAGTGCACAACTGATCCCCACTCAGCTTGATAGAGCTTGAGCAGTTTTGCAAGGAAGAATGGAGTAAAATTGATGTCCAGATGTGCAAATCTATCCACACAGACTCCATGCTGCGGCCACAGACGCATCTACTAAATAGTGACCTGAAGAGGGTGAATAGTAACACAATTACTTATTTTATGGAAAGAATTTCATTTAATTGTCATCATTTTTTTAGAAATCAGCTTTTTGTTTGTTAAAAAAGCCCAATTTTGTTGATTGATTTGCAAAAGCAACAAAAAGGCTATGACATCCAAAGGGGTGAATACTTTCTCATTGGCACTGTAACAATTTATCTCAGCAGTTTCCTACAAGCCACATAGAGAAGACACAGCAAACATGTTGCTGTGGTTAAATTAGACCAAAATTAGACCAAATTAGTCTACATTCAAAACGCTGTTTTGATGCGACATCGCCACAGTAAAACATGGTGGTGGCAGCGTCATGCTGATCAAAGCATGTTTATGTTTTTTGGGGATATTTTAGTAGAAAAAAGATGTTGACGTTTTCTAGAGGTTTGACAGACAGATCCCTTTGTTTGTTTTTGAGCTCACATCAACAGCGATTCAACCATAATCCCAACACGTGCCACTTTGAGAGATTCTTTATTTTTTTTCCTTCTCTCCTTTTCTACGTGTGAACTTTTGGTATTCATTTTGTGTTTGTTGCCAGAGGCACCTTCCAAAAATAAGTTCCTTTCAAAGTAGGAAGCTGCCACATGTGTCTCTGTGACTCAAATGTTAATAGCGAACCGCCGTCTCCCCGGGAGACCGCAGGGCATCAACAAACAGCAGTTTGTTTGTTTAGTCTCTTTCAAAGCTCATTTCTAAATCGGTGCAAATTTATTTGGGGCGGCATGTTAAAGGAGGTGTTTTACAGACGGACTTCTGCTGGCGTTGGATTCAGATCCGCCAGCCAGCCTTTTGAAAAGATCGCACCTTTTTGTTATCCTTTCCGCTTCTTGTGGACTTGGCAGATTGATCATTTGTTGTTCTCCTTCTTGTTATTTGTGTGTGTGTGTGTGTGTGTGTGTGTGTGTGTGTGTGTGTTTATGTGTGCACAGCATTGCTCTGAGAACGGAGGAGTCAGTATGCTGGAGGACGGACTTCCAGATTTCTACAGCAAGAGAGTTCTGCCTGACAGGTGGGGTCACACTTCGGATTTATTTCCTTTGACCTGTTGCTCTATGACCTCTGACCTGCTAAAGAAGCCATTCAAGGGTTTCTCTTGAATGACTTCTCAGTTTGGTTACCTGGGCACTAAACAAACTGAGAAATGTAATTTTCGAAGCAGCTAGGATCACTGGCTGACTCATTTTTATGCTAGACTAACGCAAAGTTATTTTTCTTTTAAATTAGCTACTGTCCTTCTAGCTGCTTTAGGGTTTCTAACAGACTAAGTTGATAAAGTTAAAAGTATTTTTGCAGACTCACTGTAAAAAAAAAAGAAAATACTTTTTTTCTCACTGATTCACATTGAGTCACACTTCACTTTTTTTTAAACTCAATTCATTTCAGTTTATTTATGTCACCCAGTCAATTCAATTCAATCACACATTCAGTCCGACTGATCCTAGTTATCCAAACAGTTCAGTACGCTCAATTAATTATTCGCCAAACAGCCTTGGACTGCCTCTGTATGCGCTCCTTCATCACATGGACACAAAATCAATCAATTTGCAATAGAAAGAAGAATCATTTACGGCTCTTTGTACGTGTAGCTTTTTACAAACTTCTTGCATTTCCCCCTCCACATCTAGAGGAACACGGAGACTGGGGTTTTCACTTTTTATCCTGTAGATTGCAAACATTTAGATTTGAAATCAAAGCATATGAGACGCTTTTTTTCCCCAGGTTTTTACATCTAGACAAATAAAAAAAAAAAGGCATCATGTGTAACTGTTCAAGGGCAAAAGTACTGCAATATGTCTCTGAGATGTATTGCTGAAATTACACTCTGTCAGGTCATGACGCTGAAGACGTCTTTCATAATAACAGGTGTAACTAACATTAAGAAGCAGGCAGCTGCCTGTGGATGAAAGTCGAGCAATCGTGAAGATGGAAAATCAATCAGACCTTTTTATACAAACACTGGAAAAAAAAAAAAAAAAGAAGCAGAAGAACCGTTTTGGAATATCTGTCAAACTGTTGGAGCGAGGAGCAAATTTAGCAGCTGACAGCAGAGACATTGAGAGCTTTTATTAAGAAATCCCTCTAAAACAACCATTGGTGATACGATTGCCAACCTGCAGAGGGCAGGAGTGAGTCACAAGAACGTTCCATGGGCCAAATTATAGAGGGTTCACCAGAGGATGCAAAACAGTACTAGCTAGAGCTAATAGCTAATAGTAATAGCTAATAATAGTCAATAATTTGTCCAAAAAGCTAAGAGAAAAACATCTAACAAAAATTTGAGAAAAAGAAATAAAAATGCAACAAAACCAGCAGATATTTCATTGTGGTGCAAGATAATGACCCAACACACCCACTGCCAAAACAACACACTTACTCTCCACGCTTAGACCCACAGGGTTTTCATTTTAGCTCCTGAAGAGAAATGAACAGAAATAAGCATCGACTGAAAGAGAACAGAACAAGAAGAATGCAAATGCTTCTTTTCTTTTTTCTTTTTTTTTTTTGGGATGTCGGCGGGTCAGAGATTTGAAGCAGTTCTTGGAAGCAAAGAGTTTATTATAGAACAGAAACAATTAATGGCGATTAATTGATGTTTGAAATAATCTTCAACTGATTTAGTAATAGATTAATCATTAACTTGAATATACTGCAGATGCAATCTTTGCTACAAATGATCACAGAGTGCTGTATCTCTGTGTGCAGTAGTTAAATGAAAAATCTGCAGAGTGACAATTTTTTAAATCTGATTAATCAATTAATCATTAGAATAATTGTAATCTCTTATTCACTTTCATCCATTTGTCTGTTCCGATATGTTGGCCCAACTTTATCTTCTGAGCTTTAGGTAACAGATCTACGTGTAAATTCATAGAAATACAGACTAAAATGTTGATGTCTCTTATTGTAAAAACCCAAATCTTTATGAATGTAACTATCATTTTCTATTTAACATTATTATTTTCTGTTCTGAAACTCCACAGCGGGAAATGTGCCACTAATTTTTACGTAGTAAAAATGTGACCTTGCCTCCATTTGTGGCAAAGTGACGCCATACCAGAGACGCCGAGTTGTGGCACGCTGGATCAAAGAGCCGCGCGGCCGCGGTTCAAACCATTAAGTCTGTGAATCCAGCCTTGGCCGCAAAACTCGTTGTTGATTCGCTGCAAGCATGAATTTCCAGCCAATCGATCAAACTAGTGATGACTACATCTACGTGAAGGTCATTGCTTTAGGGGAGAATCCGCAGATTGTTATTCAGTTTTACAGCCTCTGCAGAGAATCTCATAAGGATGGTCTTTTATGTCTTAAAAGAAAACATTATTACTTTACCCAAGTCAAAATGATAAAAAAAGACGAGAGTTTTCAGATTTCTTTAGCTGGACACTCAAATACATGTTGCATGAGGAGAACGAGCTAACTCATTAGCTGTGCGTGTGCGTGTGTGTGTAGCAGATTTATTAGCATGTCTTAAGATAGAAATCCAAACTTTTGTGTTGATTTTTCTCAGTAAAAGAAAAAATAAATAAACACTGAGATTTTTTTTTCTTTGCTTTTTTTTTTTTTACAAACCACAGCTGTTGGTCACCCTGCTGCTTACATGTCACACTTAAAACTGATGCTTACCCCGCCGCTCCCATTTAAGTTTTGGTTGTTGTTGTTTTGTTTGTTTTTTTCTTTCTCTTGTCAAAATTAGAAAACGGAGAAAGCATGTAAAAATGTGAACGTAATCAGTATAATTATATAATTGTATTGTAATGTGCTTTCTCAATAAAAATGTTAATATAAAAAAACTGATGCTTAGACATTTTCTAATATTGTCGAAGGTTAAAATGTACAGAGGGTCATCTTTAAAGTATGGATGGTCTTTTCTCTTCACCTCACCCCACAGTTTGAGTTTTGCTCTGTTTCTTTTGTTTGTGGACTGATTGCCATGGAAGAAGTCAATTTTGGATTTGGTGAAAAAGTTTGGTTTTGATTATAGGTTTTGGATTATTATTCATCTATTACACAATAACCATCCTATTTCAGTTTTTTTTTTTAAAGCAGAATTTGCTAGAATTTTGCTTAAAATCTCCTGGAATAGAAAAAGACCAAGCGCGTCGTTTATCTTTGTTCTTTAAACGGGGCATGATGTTCTTTCCCACAGTTTCACATCTTCTGTTTTACATCAGACCTTACATGGAGTATTTTCCATCATCAGAACAAAATCAATGTCGGTATCGCCACCATATTCCTAAATGGTCCTGGTCCTTTAACAATCTGCTCGATAGTTGGTGAATAAATCACAAAACCAAACATTTCTAAGCCTTTCATGAAATGACTGAGAAGGAAATCAGTGTCACAGTGAGTCCCCATGTCTTCACCTGTCCTCGTCCTTTGCACTCGCCTTCCTGCGTGTTTTAGATGTTTTTCTGCTCCATCGCAGACGATTTAAATGATTAAATTAGTCCCTCAGCAGGTCATCAGGATCGCTGGCGGCTGTTTAATGGCCCGTCACTTTAAATCAGACACACTGGAGCAACGGCGGATCTGAAACACGCCAGACTGAGAACTTCCAGAAAAATGGCGGGCGCCTTAATCGCGGCTTGTAGACGGGAAGCTGCTCGCTCTGGCTCGTCCCGCTCCGGCAACAAATGTCTACGATTTGCAAAAATCGGGTCTTTATTTATTTATTTTTGGTAAAATAACCAACCGTCTTCAATATCTGTCACATCTAGTCTGCTTGATTTGATTTGAGTAATTTACACATGGAGGCGTTCAGACTGGAGGCGCAGTCGGCTTCATTCGTCCCTCACACTTATTTCAGCGAAAACTTTTTTCCTGATCCAGTAATGATACATTTGTGTGCAACATAATCCTTTTATAAACCTTTCATTCAAAATCTGTGAAACACATTAGTGTCAAAAACGTCTATGTTGATATTACATAATCAGTTCATCCTCTCAACAGCCCTGATATCCTTTCATAAAAGATGCTTTGTTTTTTCAGGGAGTTTTTGTTATCCTTTGTTTTGCTTGTATAATAGATAAAAAAAAATAACTATTGATTGGAGTTTCACAATCAGCAGAAATCTCAGAACATGGGAAACACTACGTACCTTTCCATGTTTTGCTACGCTACAACAAAAAAACTTGAATGTAACTTTTTTCTATTTTAGAACAAAGTGGTGAAGAAAATGAACCGTGGTTTGTAAGCAACTGAAAAACAGCTCAAACTATCAGATTGGATGGAGAATTTCTATTAAAAAAGACATTTTTTAAAGTGTTGCTGCAGGTTTTCAGGTAGATTTAGTCATAAACTTTAACTAGGTCATTTCATTTTGCCTCAGGGTGATGAACCTCCTCCATAAAGTCTCAAATCCTTTGCAACTTTGTTTTTTTTATCAGATTTTCTTCATGTTTATATTTTGTTTAGTTTATTTCAACTTTACGTCAAAACAGATTCCCTCTTCCTGCTGAAAGTAACTTTCCAACAGCATTACCCTGCCACCGCCGTGTTTTACTATGGAGGCCGTTTGCGACTTTGGTGTTGCTTGCACTTAAAATTTTGAGAAAATACATAAAAATTTATGACTGCATTGTCTGGATACTTCTTTTTCTTACAGGTTTTATCATTGCAACTCCACAAAAAAAAATCCATCTAACTTTCCTCCTCCAATCGTCTCTCCAGCATTCACACTTCTTCTGTCTTTTTTGTTTTTATCTCCCTCTTCCTTCAGTCAGCTGTCATCCCTCCATCAGGCCCAATCACTCAGGAGAAAGAAGAGGCGCAGCGTTCTGTCCATTTTCTCCGGCTTCCGCAAGAACCGCAACTCCACCTTCTCCAACCAGGAGTCTGAGTGAGTGAGCCGCGTTGGAGCAGGCGACCGGAGGGACGTTTAAGCGCGGCGAATAAGCCTCGCGTTGTGATGGCTGCTGAAGGAAGCCAGCCGTATGCATTCGCAGCGTTTATTATTCATAAATATTTCAGCGGAGGGAAATGTTTTCCTTGTCTTCAGCTGTTTTTCGCTTTGAATTTACAGCTCTCTATACGTTCAGGCAGGTCTTATTTACTCCTCGACCTTTTAAAACTGCGGCGCGTTGCCAAATGGAGGAAATACAAGCCGGCAAACTGGTTTTTTTTTTTTTTTTTTTTTTTCCCCCCCTACTTATCGTTACCCTCTCTGAGAAGAGAGCCGAGGGCAGCACTCAGTCGGAGCTCGCTTATTAAACTATGTCACTGATCAAAGAAGGAAAAGGTGACACTTGACGAAGGCTCCGGTTTGTTTTTCTGCTCACAGGTCTGCTTAGAACACCGGTCACGCCGTTAGCTCTGCCGGTAAACAACACTTCTATTGAGCAGTGAAAAGACATTACAGAAAGTTTCGAGCTAATCAGAGGGAGAATTAAAGAGGTTGCTCACTTGAAGGCCAGCCCATTAATTTGTCTCTTGGAAAACAGGTGATGTTGTTTAATGTCGGATAATAAATTGGTAGACGGGATGTTTGTCGCTGCTTTTGCTCAAATCTTCTCTTCATTTTCACAATGGCTTTTTTTTTTTTTCTTTTTTTTTTTTTACCTTTCTTGCAACAGCTTTTGTGAAAGGTTTGTGAAGGCCGTCGTACTTCTTGTGATGGTGGGTAAAGCTGGGATAAACAAAGATGACGAAGGTGAACCAACCAAACAATAAAGCTGGATTTGGATGAATATCAAGCTTGAGGAATGACTTAGCCTCAACTCTGTTGTAAATCCATTGTAAGCTTAACAGCCTCATATATGTTGGACAACAGAGAAAATTCACAATAAGTTCAAAGTTGTTTTGCCAAATATTGATTCAAAAAGAATTAATTTTTTTTTGTCATTATTATGATATGACCGTTTGACCCCAAAATAATAAAAAGTTTGTGACTCACTAAAAGCTCAAGGTTTTTAACCTTCTGACTTAAACAGCGTTTATTCTATAAACTGTTTTTAAAAAATAAATAAACACACAGAATTTACTAGATTATTTAAACTGCAAAGGCGTAATGCAATTTGAAAACAAATCAGGCAATAAACAATTAAACTGAATAATCGTGATTAACTGATTAATGAAATAATCGTCAACTATTCATCGCTAACTGGAGTATTCAGACTCTATAATGTGCCATTTGCTGAAATATTGGCACCCTCAGAGCAATGTTGAGCCAAAACTTTTTTAAAAAATTACATTTTTCATTTTAAGATGACAATCGTTATGTTTGTAAATATGTTCTGACTGGAACTCCTTAAGTGATAGTTTTAGCTTCACCTGGTTCAAAATTTGGTCAAAAATAAATCCTGTTAAGAACTTTTTGCCATACAGTTATTATTAATTTAATCAGCCACACACTGTATTTATGCAAAGTCGAGAAGAAAGGGCTGCGCTTCTCACATGTTGATGCTACAAGTTTACTTTTAGCTGCAGATTCACGCTTTGCCACAAATTATCAAGTGTACAAAACAGTATTAAATGTTACCGCATTTTCGGCAATAAAATGTTTATTTTCTTATTTAAAAAGTAAGCTGAATTATTATTTGCATTTCTAGTATTGTGTAAAATGAATTTAAGTGGAAATAGTTTTATCCGATTAATTGATTAATCGTCGGAATGATCTACATAAAAATCAATCACTAAGCTAACGGTTAGCTGCATCTGACCAACATATTTGTACCTCAGCTGTCAGGTCACCACTCAGGCCTTGTGTGTTTCCAGGTGCGCCTCAGAGAACGTCTACTCCATGATTCAGCACCCTAAAGACACCGGGAGGCCAGAGAGCGCCGTTCCGGGAGCGAACGGGACCTTGTCCTCACCTCGGCCAGCTCAGGGCGTACCTGCTCACGGACTGAGGACCGCCAGCCCCCCCTGCTCCATCCAGAGACAGGTACAGTGTAACGGAGCGTCCCTGGGAGTCGGCAGCTGTTGACGCGCTTTCTGATTAGTTTAGAGACCGAGCCGGGCATTTTTGAAAGTGGATCTGTGTGCTCAGTTTTAAAAACGAAATTATTCTGCAGCCGAACTGTGCAACAGCAGATAGCAGCATTAAAAGGAATGATGTGACCTTTGTTGTTATTATCTTAGTTCTTTCATCAGTTACACTCAGACGTGTCTAGATTATTTTTTCTACACTTTATGCCCCTTTTACAGGGGCACAAACTGGAGAAGGGTGGCACACTAAAATTGCAATTTCATCTAATTGTCCTGCAAAACTGGAAAAACAAAACTATTTATTTACCCAAATAAAAGACATGGCTCAGTTTAGCACAACAAAACAGTGGATTAGGGCACAAGGTAACGTTTCAAATCACACAATTAGCCTGTTTAGCTAAGCGTAGCTTACCTGTATACAACTAAATTTTTTAATGCCGCTTTGCTAATGCTTAGGGTTGCCACCTTTCAGAAATTAAAATAAGGGACCAGTCCCTATATTTGTAAAGCGGGGGGCTGCGGCAGCAGCGTGTTGGTTAGTGTGTGTTACCCAGAAAGCAGTTGGGCACAATATCGCAACACCAACACCATGAGTCAAACAATGACTGAGGCAGTGTGCTATATAAACTACTCGGGGACCAGTTCTTTATTATTACATACACACACATTTGTAGAATACGGACCAAATTGTCGTTGCGTATAGGTTTAATATGGGACGCTACATTTAACAGCCTCGGTCATTGTTTGACTCAACTTATCAACTTAAAGTCAAAGTTACTGAACCATTACAGACGACAAAAAATTGCAAATAACTGTTTAATAACTCTATTTTCTCATTAGTAAAGAGGCTTTTTGTATGGTAGTCTGAGGCTGCTTTTCTGTATACAACTCTGTTTTTAGCGCCGCTATGCTAACTCTATTCAACTTATCAACTTAAAGTCAAACTTATTGAGCTTTTTATAATCTACAAATGGCAAATAACTATTTAATTACTCCCTTTTATTCTTTATGAAGAGTGTTTTTTGTGTGTGTAGTAGTCTGAGGCTGCTTTTTCATCTACCATATGCAGTACATCAACCTGCTAATGGAACTGGGGATGGAAATTAGCCACGTGGCTATAATCTCATGTATAACGTGTAAATGTTAATTGATATGTAATGTCCTTTTTTTAAAAAATATAAACTTGAAATAATCAACAACAACAAAATAATTAATGGTGGTTGTGAAAAAGGAGCATTTCTGTCATCTACTGACGTAGATGGATTATGAACAAGCGAACACATATGGTGGGGAAGAGGCAGGGTGGCCAATCAGATTTCAAGAATAGTTGGTGCTTTGAAGATTACTGCATGATTAAAGAAGGAATATAAAGAACAATAAAAGCTAGGCTTTAAAGTTTGCTTTATAATGAAGATGTCAGTTCATGAGCACCCTGCTCCCACCTCTGTAGTCCCCTGTGATGACATGGAGCAGAGCTGCCTGCTGTGCTCACCACCTGCTATTCCCAGCGTTTTTATGTCTGGGATTTGTGCAGCTGCTTGTGTGAAACATAGACATTAAGGCTTATCTTAAATCTCTGCCACACACTTTTACAGAACCAAAATGTCTGCTCCGACTCTTTTCCCTTTTGTCAGGTGAAGTTAGAAATCTTTCAATAATTAGATATTTGGAATCATAATAGGTATTCGGTTTGTTGTCAACAAAATCTTTCCAGGACGTCCACAAAAAGCAGAGTTGCGAGTGTGAACGATGCAAACATTTATATGATTCTGCCTAACTGGGATTCTGCGTGCGGCCTTCCCCCTGTGCTGCAGTCCACAGATCTGGTCAGCATGGTGTACAGCTGCATCGGGGCGGAAATCGAGGACTCCGACAGCAGCAGCACCTGCGACATCAAAGAGTCGTTGCAGCACAGCGCCGACGGATCAAACGCCATCTCGGACGCCCTGACAGATCCGCGGAGTAACGGACATGTGGCGTCCTCCAAACACCAGACGGACAGGCAGATGGAGACGACCAGGCAGGAGAGGATCGTCCCACTGACTGAGTCGCGGACCGAGGCGGGAGAAGATGTCCAGAGCAGCGGCATCGGCAGCGCCAGGCCGGAGCCGCCTCCGCACAGCTCCAAGCCAAGTCTGGCTGTGATGAGGCAGAGACATCTGCAGGACAGTTCAGGTACTGCAACCTCTACGGCAAATAGAGTTTGATCTGTCAGCAGACACATTGTTGGAGACGGGAAAGCCTCTGTGGTGTGCAGCGTCTTGCAAAAGCGCGATTTCTGATAGATTTCTGATAGATGTAAGGGCGTGACTGTGAAGTATTTTATGAAAAAAAAAAGTTAAAAGCCAAGTGTATCATCCATTCGTATGTAGCCTTCTTTTTCTGGAATCATTTTAACTGCAATTACAGCTTTGCACATTAAGGGTGCATTCACAATAACCCTGCTTAGTACGCTTTAAAACCAGCTCTAGTTTGTTTACCTAGAAAGTCCAGGTTGTTTGGGGAGTTCTGAATGCACAATCAAAAAAAGCAAACTCTGGTCTGCCTAAAAAAACCTCGGTTTGTTTGAAGCGATTCAAACTCGAATCATGTGGATGCAAAGGGATTCAAGGGTCTGCATACTTCACAGTTTCAAACTGGTTGAAATGCGAACTTGAACGTGCAGAACAACCTTCTTAGACAATCCGCTTTGCCTACAGCGTAGCCACAAAGAAAAGCTGTCAGGTCTAAACGCCTCGTCAGAATTGTTTGAAATTGCTTTAAATGAATGAGCTGGTAGCTGGATAGAGTAAGGATGTGGTAGCGTACAATGTAGTGATTTAATGACTCAGACATGATCTGGATGTTCTCCAGATTCACAGAGTCACAGTCGAGGACTATTGGCAGTTTATTGGCTGCAGTCTTCACTGCAGGTTGGAATCCCAAATAGCAAATTATTAATAAGCAACAGAAATGCACAAATATTTGGCTTTTATGGACTGAATAACTTGTTTGTCTTTTAAAAACTGAGCAGCTTTCTGATCTATAGTTACAGGTGGTTTGTTTTTACTTTAGCGTTTCTTTTCTTCAGCCATGGCTCGCGTCTCGGAACCCATAAAGTCTCTCTGTCAGAGTCTCTGCTTCGGGGCTTTTGGTTTTGAATCAGAAACAGAGTTTTGATTGATCACAGAGTTGATGGAGTTTCCTGTGGTTTTGTTACCAGAAGAGGCAGGAATGCCAGAGGGAGAAGAACAGAGTGAAAGACTGCAGGAAGAGAAGCAGAGAGGGCGAGGACCAGAGGGACAGCGTCCTCTCATTCCCAAAAAGGTATGTGGTAAATAAATAGGATTTAATTATTTTTTTTTCTGCTGCAGGCCAATAGACATGAAAAATTAAATAAACACATGATATCCTCTGCTGCTAGCCCAGTGTAGACCTCCAGAGAGACAAGACCTCTCCGGAAATGACCAGGACTTCACCGAAAATTCCTGCGAGTCTCGAAGAACAGAACAACGACCAGAAGAGTTTGCCTCCGGCTCAGACAGCGTCTGATGACAACGTGAGCAGCGAGACAAGGAGCCTTGGCTTAGAGGATGCCGATCCCACCGTCATCAGCCACGGTATTATTAAAATGGTCGTAGCCAGAGATCGGGACTCGAATCTTAGATTTCAGACGAAACTTGGTCTCCAAACCAGAGGTTTCAAACTTCAGGTCCTCAATCCTCGGAGTCCCGCAACTTTAGATGTGTCTTCAAAACACCTGAATCTACTAAGTTTGTCTAAATATGCTAAATCAGATATGTTGGACCAGGGATGTACCTAAATGTTGCAGAACAACGGCTCCCCAACACCCTAACCCCGTGGTCTGTGACTCAGACTGGACGTTGTTAAATAGGTTGAATACCAGGAAAAAAACAGTATAATCATTACAAACAGACACTTCCTACATTGATTGAGTCACTACACTGCTCCTTTCTCTTTACTTTTTAAATTATGTCGCACCTTGGAACATGTTTACTGTTCCATTTTCTAAAACCGTTTTTAGAAAATGGTTTCCTAATAATCCTCACTAAGGTGTGAACAATTTGGACGCAGCCGTAAACCGATGTTGACTCTGCCGTTACAAAAGCAGAGTCACTGTTTTCCAACTAAAACTCTGCTTAGTTAAAATTAGATATTGGCAGCTGTATATACACCTTACCGTTTATTTTGCTACCACATCCTAGAATATATTTTAATAAAAATCCACAGAGGTTGAGAGCAGTTTCTGTGTATCAAGTTAAGTGTTTTAAAATTGATCACCGTTACATATTTAATTGAGGCGATTCGAATTCATTTTTGAATGTCCATTCTTACTTCGTCTGTAGTTCATGTTATTATTATTATTGAAGATTTTCAGACATTCTCCTCATTCCGATCAGCAGAAGTCAAATGTTTCTTATTCATCACCTTCATTTCTACTCGTACAGATAAATCCTGTTCTTAAATGAAGATAGTAAACCATTTGGGCAGAATGTGGTGAATAATGATGATGACCCCCTCCGTATACACCCACAGATGAGGAAGCAGATCATAATGGATTCCCCAAAACATCCCATCACACCAGGAAGTCCAACTCATTTGACATAGGTACTGCTCCTCTGACATGGTCTGTTTCCGGCCCCCTGCTGTGGCGTTCCTTTGTGCATGCTGGAGTATAAATGCATCTCTCTCTACATTTGTTTAAAACAGTGTCATCATGCCTTTTTTCCCTTTCATTTCTGTACCTAATGAACTCAGCATGGGTCTGTTATTTTGGCTTCTCCCAACCCTTTAGACTGTGCTGGCATCTTATCGCTTCCTCCACCTTTATTTATTCCTTTTCTTTATTTTAATTCCCACACCCCACTCTGTGTATGTCTCCTGACATTTCCCCTCTCAGGCATGGAAAGAGACATGCCCTGTGATCTGGAGAGGCCCTCAGATCGCAGGTTCCCTGTGAAAAAGCCCACCTTTCCCCAGTACAGAAACAGATCCCTGGACTTCCCTGCTGGGTGTATGTATCTGCTCCATTCCCTTTCTGATGCATGTGGTGTGACCACTAATTGCCCTCCACCCGATTTTATACTGCATGTGTTTTTGAACAAAAAATTTTCTTTCTTTTTTTTCACTTTTCAGTGTTTGCTATTTTTTGCTCAAGCTCGCTTTTATTAAGCCCCTCACGCACGAGTCACACCCTGCGCATTAAAAGCAAGGCCGCACAGTCGCTTTATAAATGATTGATCAAAGTAAGAGACCATAGAATAGCATTTAAAGGAATAATCTGGCTAATTTCCAGGCATGTCTCACTTCCATTAGCACCCTCCGGTGACAAAGCAGACGCCAACTTCCTCATTTCCACCTTTTACTTCTCGTGCTTAATTCTTTTCCTTGGTTCCATTATTGTGATAATTGGCAGACGAGTTTAGCTGATTCATCATCATTTTCCACTCTGAGCAGCGCGGTGCTGGAGACGTCGACCTCGGGGTTGCTGGAACTGAAAGAATGCTAATGATGAGGCGAAGCCCGCTGCCAATTTCCCTTGTAATCCAGAGCGGCGCATCTTAAAATTCTGCTGCAGAAAATCTTCAACACATTGAGGTTGCACATCTTTGACTTTGTAGTATTAGAGCTAATTATCTCAAGTATGAAAGGTCTGATCGCCCTCTGTGATCCGTCATATCAGGGATTCAGTGCTCTCGCACCGTTTGCTTCAGTTATTACACCGAGGTCTCAGTTTCTCCCTCTTGCAGATCAATACTTGACACGTCTGCCTGGTGGAAAAAGTAAAATATCACCATTAGGTTTTCCTCTGAAGACTGATGAAAACGGCTTTGTCTCCCAATGTTTGGAATTTTAAATTGAAATTCCTGCACACACTTGAAGAAACAAAGGGAGACGACCGGCGTTCGTTCCAGATTTGTCATTTACGTTATCTAAACGTCTAAAATGTTAAGTGTTTGCTGAAAGCAAGAGAAAAAGAAAGCCAGTCTTTGATATGAAAGCCTAAAAATGTCAAACAACAGATCATACTCTGGATTGGTAGGAAGGTGGAAAATTAGCTTTTTGACTTTTTTTTCCCCCCTAGAAAACCAACCCAGAATAAAAACATTTTGAGTGATATCGATGGATGAGAAGAGGCTCCTTTATAGAAAGCCGCTAAGAAATCGGTTGACTGAAAACCCAGTCTTTTATCCAATCGGGAAACATGTCAACATGTCACTCAAACAACAAAACTCTGGTGTGGAAGTTGCCACTGAGGGAGGAAGGTTTAAAGTTAATCATTTTTAGCTTAATTGAAGCATTTAGTAATGAAGGCAGATGAAGTTTCCTGGCTGCTGCTTTTTTTTTTTTCTCTTCAGGGAGCCGAATGTATAAAAGTATAAAACTGATGTTGCTTTGTTTGACCATTTAGGCGTTTCCATCCTGCTGGGTTGGAAGAAGATGACCATCTTTCAGAAGTCTAATTGTCTTGTAACAGTCGACAGGAAATACTGACTTTAGTAGCATACGCTCAGCATGCTAAGTGCTGATTCAAGAGACTTTCTGTTTCAACTCTAATCCTTTTGTATTTGTTTTAAAGTAGTCGTAACATCCTCTTTAACCTGCAGAGCTGTGTCACACTGACACGACCCTCTCTCTTATACGCACACAGTGTGACATCACCTCTGGTCCCCATATAAATAATTCATAATCACAGAGAGGCGCATGGAAGCTACTCTATAGTTACATCAAACAGAAAAATTAACCAGCACAAAGTCTGGCACAAAATATCCAGTTGGACACAGCTAGTTTTATTCAGTTTTAGTGTTTTTTTGTTTTGTTTTGTTTTTCTTTCCACTTGAATGGATCTCTTTAAACAAGAACAAACGTTAATCATTAATGTTCCTCAATGTGTCTTGTAAAGTTGTAAATTAAATACGGTGTTTTTTGGGTTGTTTTTGTTTTTTACTTTTTGAGTTTTGATGTCCCATAGCCAGGAGGATTTTAGTTTTTGGATGTTTGTCAATGTTCAGTCATCAGAGACACAACTCTAACTTTATGATGTTTCTAATGTTTTTTTTATTTTTTTATTGCTGATACTGGACACTTTTTCTTTTGCTCATTCTTCAACAGATGTCAGGATTGGCTAAAATCTAACCTAGAGATTCAGCTTTGCAAAATCAGGGATCAGAAATCAGCATCTTGACTCTAGTATTATGTCTCCATTTGCTGTGTTAGCATAAATAGTTTGATACAAATTTATATGTCAGGCTGTCATATAATTATGTGGATTTAAGGCAATCAAAGACCATGAATAGAACATTGAGTTTTCATCCAAAGAAAGTCAGTAGGAGGGTAAAAGTTTTTTTCTGCATTATAGCGCATTAATCCCAGTTTGCATCAACTACACAAAATGGGAGCCCATCAGAAGCCACACATTTACCTCATGTACATGACGGGGCTTGATTTTTTGTTTTTATTAATTATTATTATATATATATATTTTTTTTTACAAAATCTGCTTAATTCCCTCTGATTTAAACTCCAGTGTAACATCATGTTCTACATACAGGACATCAGTGTTAATGAGAGGATAGTGTTCATGATGGGTAGTCAATTGCTACCTAATCAACCTGCATGTCACTTGCTGAAGGCATTACTAAAGGCGAAAAATTGCTCACAGAGACGTGGCAAAAGAAAACTGTCCTTTAATTAAGCAGCTTTGGAAGGAAGGAAGGAAAGAAGGAAGGAAGCATGGGAGGCCGCTTTTGGCTCGAGCTCAAGGTTCCTAAATGTCAGACTGTCGTTGTCCGAGGAAAGACTTTCAACAGAGCAATAAAAAATGAAAATTTTATTTATTGTCATGGCCATGCATCCCATTAAATGTGAGTCCTTGGGAAAGAAAGCACTTCATTACTGGGCATTGGTAACCTTTCATCAGATCGGGATGCGAAACGCCACGAAATCAAAACCTTGAGCCCAGACGTCTGGGCTTACTCTCACTTTAAACTATTAGGACCTTTTGCTTTTCCGCTTCTGCTTTTGTAACAGAAACCCTTTCTGTGTTGCCTATAATTTGATCCCTTAACAAGACAATTCAATAAGTCCAGCTTTTATTCCATCTCGCGTTACGTTTTCTCCTGCAGGTTACGAAGGCGGTAACGGAGACGGAGCATTATGACATTACCTGGGGACGGAGAAGACGCTGCTGGGAAGAAGAGACTGGAGAACGGAGAACTGGAGTGAGACGAGCTTTTAACACCCCGGCCTCCTCTCCCACCACGCACTCGAACTGAAAAACGGATTCATCCAGGGGATTCTTCGCCATTTCATCAATCTGTTGCTGAAAGTGCATGTTCTGTATACCTTCTTTTTAACTGCTTGCCCTCGTTATAGTTTCTCTCGCATAACGAGAAGATTCTTTCACACACACACTCGCAGTAGTTCTGTTCTCCAGTGAGCTCAAGGGAGTTTTATGCGTTTGTGCGAGTCGTTTAATGTTAAAAGATGTCTCCTCGTCGCCTTCCCCCACCTTTTACTGACAATCTGTGATTATTAAAAGTGAGTTTGTACCGTATTTATTTTAATGAGATGTAGATCAAATGCACTAACCATTGTGGTACTGCTGTTAGTTCACAATCAGGATTTAATTTATGATAATAGAATATTTGATAACTGTGTTTGTGAGTATGCTTTTTTTGTTTGTTTGTTTTTTGTCTTTTTCTTTTCGATGTATGCTGATGTTGATTGGAAAACTTGTTACCATGAACTTAGCTCTCTCCCATCTCTTCAAGAGTATTTAAATCAGCTGGCGGGTGGTTTTAATCTGATTTTAATTGCTGGAAAATAATTATATTTTCTAAAAATGCTTCTATGAATCAGAATAAATAAAATTGAATTAATAGAAGGAAGCAGTGTGTGAAATGTCAAAGTTGTTAAGTTTTCGCCTGTTTTCGAGTCTTACAGCGATCCACATCTACAAGCTCTGCGTCATACAGAGCAGAAAATATGGAACCACAAGAGTGCCACTAAAATTACGTTTAAAAAAAATCGATAAATCAAATGTAAGAATTAAAAAGACAAAATGAGAGCAGAACTATTTTGTTTTTTTTGTTGGTTAAAAAAGATATTTCCAAAGAAATGTAAAAAAAAAAAAAAAATGCTTGACAAACAAGTCCATCTAAAAAATTGCAATATAAAGTTCAGTGGGTTTTTTTCCTCACTCCTTTCAGAAAGTGAAATAGATGAAGATTTATTACACAACTATTTGAAACACTTATTTGGTTATTACAAGTGGTGTGGAGGCGATTAGCCCGTGGTTCTGCTGAGATGTTATGGAAACCCAGGTTGCATTTAAAAGCTGCCTTCAAGTCATCCGCATTGTTGGGTCTCATCTTCCCCTGGACAATATGGCATGAATTTTCTATGTAGCCGGTTTGCTGCCACAGTAACTTGCTTGATCGGAATGGGGGAAGAGGTTCAAATGAGAAAGAATAACTTAGCTGTGCCAAAGCCAGATCTTCTGTTCCTTTTGATCGTTGCTAAAATTTGGCAATAACTCCTTGGAAAATCATTCGCTTGTCAGTTGAGACCCGATTTTAGCAGCTCCTTTTAAAACGGTGCTGCTGAAACTGCAATATCAACGGTTCAAACTGATAGTTTAATAGTTTAGAGGATATTTTTGGCACACATTCAGTCACTAAGTATTTCGGTAACTGTAAGATAAAATATTAACCGACTCTCAGTATCACTGCGAGGCTCCTTCTGGTGGCTCCTTCCAGCAGTACAACGCACCCTGTCAAAAACCTTAAATCGCCTCAATTTGATTTTTATTTTTTTTTTAACTGAGTTCACTGTATTCTGGGTCAGTGTCCACACAGCCTTAAAACATCTTAAATTCACGTATTGTTAAATTAAGGCCTTAAATTGTCTTAAATTCATAAAAAAAATATACTAGTTAGCCTTGGACATGTTAATTACAGGTCTTACATTTTGTCGTGGCCCTTGATAGCCAGGGTAGCTGGCTAGTTTATTTTACATCAATTCTTTTGTATTTTTTCTGTCACAATATAGGTCTTAAATTTAATTCATAGTGGTCTTTAGAAGTCTTAAATTTGAGTTGGGGAAGCTCGCAGAAACCCTGATATTGAGACGACCTCCACAGTCAAGATATCCCAGTGGGATCGGAGACCTTGAGAACATGGTGGAATAAGATGTTTGTGTCACAGATGAACAGATAAATCTGCAGCAACTACGTGATGCCGTCCCGTCCATGTGGACCAAAATATTGGAGGAATATCTGGATCTGTTCCATGGAGAATTAAGGCTTTTGTGGAGGCAAAATGGAGTCCAACTCCGTACTAACGGGGGAACCTAACCAGAAAGGCTGGCAAGTTTATATCCACAGGTATCAAGATGTCAAGCAACTAATGTTTAGAAAATGTAATGTCCACAGTCGTCAAAGCTTCACCAAAAACTTAAAACTGTTTAAAAACTGAAATAAAGCAGCGCCAAGTGCAGATGGTAGTAGAGGGTCCTCTGAAATGAACGTTCCCGCTGTTGTACAGCAGGTGGCAGCAGAGACTTTGACTATTTGGCCTGAAACTCTCAGAGTTGCACTTCTTTACTGTGGATGCCCAGCCACGATGCTCCATCGATACTGTCGTGGATGAATCAGTGTTTTGTGATCCGATGGAGACTTGCCAAATATTACTGACATCACGACCACGATGAATTAAACATTCACGTGTCTGGCATGTGTTTTTGCAGACGAACACGTGTTTCCTGCTCCCTCTGTGCCTAAGTGAGCCCAGGCGTTTGGACGTCCATCAGCCTTTTCCCAGACAATGACGATCCTCCTGACAATGAGGAGCTTTTAATTCCCTCCATGCAGTCACCTGATCTCCTGCACTGCCAGGCCTCATTACAGCCAGGGGTGTAGCATTCACATCCTACGTGTCCTCAGATAAGCCCAGTTAAGTCCCTCTTTGTCTCTACACACACACACACCCATATGGTGCCTGTTCAGCATGCCATATGCTCAGGTGAACGCTTCATCACAGTGTATGTAAACCTACACATTAACATAAAGATGATCTAATAAAGCTGTTTTTTTCTTTTCTTTTATTCACTCAGATGGTTTGAGGTTGGCTCACACGGCGTTTGCTGAAAGGTGTGTGTTACGTGTGTTTAACCAAGACAAATGGGTCAGCAGCAAGTCATTTGACCCCTCTACACAAACACTGGTTGTCTGGTAATGAGTTTATAAAAGCTGGTGTTGAGCCCTTTACACCAGGTAACAGCCTGTTAAGTCCAAAAAAAAAGAGGTTTGTATCCTGACAAGGCTCTCTGTTCAGTAATAATACACCTGACAAAAGACTTCGGCTTAGCGTCTGAGCCAAAATGATGCCTTTAGAGTGAGGTACTGTCATCATAAATGCTACATAGTGCAAATAATCCTCTTTGAAACACCTAAGCGCTGGCTTATCTACATGCGGACAAGCTGCTTTTATCCAGGAGTTCTGAGCAAGTCGGTGGCAGTAATGCAAACGGAGGAAGAGTGAACCTGAAGGCTGCCATGTTCTTATTTATGCTCAGCTGTGTGAAGACCAGCCTTCAAATTGCTGGCTGTAAGCTCTAGAAACAGTCAGGAGGGAGTATTACGAATCAAGTGGCTCACGAAGGAAATGATAAAAACAGTGCCCTGCAAACATATTCATATTTTATCCTGTTGTAACAACACATTTCAGTGCATGTTTTGAGATAAGCTAACAAAATAACATCCTACATAAAAAGTCATATATATGTGGCTTTATCTTTAGCCCCATTTTACCTGATACCCCTATGAAGGGTGGCCATTTATCCTGAAAAGTCACCTAATTAGTTAATAGGGCCCGCCTGAGTGTCCTGGTTGATCATCCCATCCAGCTGTTTGGTGAAGGCCTTAGAGAACAAACGCCGCCATGAAGAGTTTTATCGCCTCAGGAAAAACTACTTGATTGCAGTTGATCATAGTAATTGGCAGAGAAGTACATTCATTACCATTTATCAAACAAGACAGGATGAAGGCTGTGGGCATGGCAACGGATGATTTGATGAGGGATGCTCAGGGGACGCCGCTGCTGATGAGGATGATTCTGATGTTACATCCCCGAAGTGTTTCAAGTCATGGGAACCACGATACAGAAGACAGAAGACGGCTACAGTGGAGGTGATGAAGGTCCTGGAAACAAGGGTGCTGTGACTGTCCAAGGGAAAACAGATGCTGCACGGTTGCTGATGCTCTGACTCTGGCCATGGTGGTGTGATGCTAGCTTGACTATGGAAAATGGAGTGCATGCTTGGAGGCTGGTCTTGAGGGACATAGACTAGCAAGCATTGTGTTGAGAAGAAAGTTTGGGAGGTGGTATGACATGAAAAAGAGTCAAAGTTATTTCTTTACATTTTTGTAGGGTCATCTGTGGATTTCAATAGGGCGTACCTGGCCAGAAGCTAACGCTCTTTTGGGAGCAGTCTGGTTCTAGTTCTGGTTCTGCTGTTTATCTACTGACCCAGAATCTATGGAGAGTGAAGAGTTCTGCCAGTGAAAGTATGTTTTCCCTCAACATTAAGGAATCATTGACTTGAAACAAACTCCTATATCTTACTGAAAAGTTACTTGTAGGTGTTGTTCTGCTAGGAGTCGGTCAGGACCACACTCCAGATGGAGATTGGACTCTCTAAGGTCTTCCTCCCAGCACCAGCAGCGTGTCAGGCAGGTTCTTTAAGAAATAGGCGGCGCATCTCCACCGCCTCCTGACAGCTTTATTCTCAAGCATCAAGCTGTTCCCCATTCACTGCAGATCATGCTTGATGTCACTCCGTGTGTCCACCTTGGAAGATGAGACATTTGCTGAATGTCTTCATTTCATTTGTAGCAAAGGGCGCATCTGCAGCTAAAAGAAAAAAAAAAAATCCCAGCACATCTTGGTTTTATCTTAAATGTAAAACATAACTGTTGTGCCCTGTGTGACCCTCTAGAAATAGAGTTTTCACAAGTTACCATTACAAGAAAGAAAAACATAATCACAATAGACAGTTTCAACGTTAGCGTTCTGTAATTAGAACTGCTAAGTGAACCAGAGAGCCCATAAACCTAAATGCCTCCGTCTCCCTGCCACATCTCTATTAGCCGCCCTTGGAGCTTCTTGAACAGAGAACAGAATGTGACACAGCCCGGCTGAACGTGCTCTCCGGATTCCTCCGGCTCCAGTCTCGAGTCTGCACGACTCAGTCATCTCCCCGTGACACAGCTGTCACTGTGTTTTTCCTCTCAGGTTCATAAAGCCCTCCCCGCTCAGGTTGACCTATCTTTATGATCTCAGGAAGCGGGTTTGGCGGCTTCCACGAATCACTCTTCTCTGGCAGCAGTTGTTTTTTTGTGGTTTTTTTTCCCCTTACACCTTTTTCCATCACGCCATTTTGCCTGGCTCTGAACTCTTTTCCAACCTTTTCCTTCGCCTCGCTCCATCACGCTCTGACCTGCGTGTTTGTTTCCCTAAAAACAACTCCGTCTTGCTGCTGGCAATTAGAGTAGATTAAGGCAGTGTGTGTGTGTGTGTATGTGTGTGTGTGTGCGTGGCCAGGTGTGCTTGTGTGGGTTTCTGCAAGCCTTTTCTGTTTCGGTGTGTGTTTGCGTTTTCGAAATGGAGGCCAGCGCTACAGGTTGAGGGATGATGTTAAATGCAGTGGCGGTAGGAGTCTTTGGTAGACAACGGATTGCTGGAGGTTCACTGGAGCCTCACTGGAGCAACGATCACCAGAACAGAGGTCAATGCTGTTACCGATAGCAATGAGTCATCCACCGTTTCTACATCTACCGTTTTAGGGCAAGCTGAGGGTTTTCTTTCACTCTCAACCCTTATAAAGTGTTAAAGGTGGAAGTTTGCATTTAATCTTTTGATATATTTAATAAATACTACTTCTACTGAGGTTTAACACCAAGCATCAGACTTTTGTTTCAGGTTTCCTTATGTTGTGGAAAGCCTGTTGCGTACATATTCATTTTATATATGTCAAAATGTAAAGAAATTAAGCTTGCCGGTACTCTTAAATCTGGACTTGCAGTGCTGTGAGCTGTACTCACCATATTACAAATGTCTCATGTTTCAGCGTTTTTGGTTACAGTTGCATAAAAAAAATGGAACCAAAACGACTTTTCTCAACGTGGAAAAAAGTGAGCATAAAACATTTTGTTCCGAGTCTGAAACTCTGCACACTTACTGCCTTTTTTATTTACAGCAAAATAATTGAAATCAGTCTGTAAACGGGTTACAAAGCCGATTCTAAAGCTTTGTCACTCAGTGACTAAATGAGTTGGTCATTTGGTCACAGTCACAGCAAGAGGGTCAAAACTCCTGTCGAACAATAGACTTGATTTCAAAGCTATACATAGACCTTGTTTAGTCGAGTCAGTTTGTTTGATTCCTTTAAACCTGCATATTTCCATGATTATACGAAGACTGAGAAAAACTACCAAGAGTGATGATGGTTTTATCGTGGCTTGTACTTAAACTGATAAATTTGTTACTTTACCAAAATGTCAAAGCATGAATTTCAATTCACAGACAACATTAATTGATATATTATTGTGAACTAATTGCATTCGTTTTTCATTGATGTTGCAGTAACATAACTTTGTAAAAAAAAAAAAAATACATATATAGAACAGTCGGGCTTTTTCAGGTTGTGTTCTCACTGACAGAAAGTGATCGAGACAGATGAGGACTGAATGTTACTTTATTTCTATAGAATAATTATGTCACCACAACATTAATAAAACCAGTCAAATACCTCCAGTTACTCTTTTTTTTCTTTTGTTTTTTTGTGAGTAAGCGCCAGTCAGATCTAAATCAGATCCCGGACAACTTTTAACTCTGAACTGATGAAGTTGCTAGTTAATAACTTATTTTTTTACATATATACACTGTCGAGTATATGATGAAATAACAAGAAGTTAATTTAATTTGAACAAAGATTATAGCTTAAAATTATGTAGCCATGTCTTTGCAGCAGAAGTAGACCATTGCTGAATATTACATTATATAGAATGCAAAATATTTCTGCATTTAAGTCAGTAGATTTTACTTTTCATAGGCTTCACTGTTAAATTAAATCACATAAAGACAGTTTAATTCTATTACAATTGATCTTTTGCTACACTTGCTGGACATTAAAGGATTTTGCATGGAATATGTAATAAAACTGAGAAAACTGAAGACATGGTCTGACATTGGGATGCCAAATCTGTAATATTATAATAAGTTCTCCTATTGACCTCAGAAGCCAAATTAGGAAACAGAATATGTTGGAGGTTATGTAGTGCCAAAGGGGGAAGAGGGAATGCTGGAAAAACCACATGCTCTCTTACTTCATCTGCATGTGTGTACAGATGTGTGTGTGTGTGTGTGTGTGTGTGTGTGTGTGTGTGTGTGTGTGTGTGTGTGTGTGTGTGTGTGTGTGTGTGTGTTTGTAATACCTTGTGGGGACCATTATCCTGACACATACGACGTTATGGGGGACCCACTGCTCCTTGTGGGGACCTAAGCCTGGCCCCCACAAGGGGAGACGCTGTTTTTGGTTCAGGGGTTAGATTTAGGACTAAGGTGTGAATGAAGGGTTAGGGTTAGGATAAGGTTTAGGCTGTAGAAATGAATGGAAGTCTATGGAAAGTCCCCACAAAGATAGCCCTGCAAACATGTGTGTGTGCGTGTGTACATGGCCAAAGGACAGCATGGGGAGTCGAGAGGCGGAGTGAGCATGGGGAGCAGTACAGGTGTGTGCCCTCTGTTTCTCCTCTTTATACGGCACGTCAGCTGACGGTGAGTGGAGGGGCTTCTACCGAGCAGCAGGTCACCTTTTGCAGTAAGTGAAAAACGGTCATTTAACGTCCTCTCTTTTTATTTTCCTCCGGCTCTGCTCCGTCTTTCCCTTTCCTTTTTAAATTCATCCGGGTCAGGTAATAGCTGGAGGGCCAACTTTGTTCCTGATTGTTTTTTTAACTCGGCCTGGGCGTGTGACTGTGACGTACGACGCCGCCGAAGTCTCCTGCGGTTTTTCCTGTTGATTATTTCTGCAAACGTCTTTCGGCACATTAACACGAGAATATCATTACCATTCCAGACTGATTCTGGAGTTTTTAGTCTTTTGTTGAGCTGAAGTTTAGAGTGTGAATACACCTGTTTATTGCAAACCTGCGTGAGCCAGTTTTCATGCTTTAAATGAGGATCTTCCAAAAACACATGAAGCTTTAAAGAGGACAGATGTATTGATGATCATCTTTTTAAAACAAATCTTTTTGGACAGCAAAAGACAAGCCCAGAAGTTTTTCCCCTTTTTGTTTGTTTTTATTAATTATTTTTTTCTTGAGAAACTTCCCTGGGAGGAGGTCACATCACACATGGAGACAAGGCTGCCCAGAGCAGGAACCCGGCTCACTGGGGCAGCAACAGAAAGGTTTAGTGAAGCGAAAAGAAACTCCAGGAGCAAAACACACGTTAAGAAAAACAAAACAATTTTTTCCCATTAGAAATGACTTCATGCTACAAATGTAGGTGAAATCTAACTGTGACGCCAGTACTAAAGTGGCGGAAACAGCCTGGAATCGGCCTCAACTTCTTCATCAGTTCAGCTTGAGGTCAATGTGTCTAAAATTAAACACAATTAGTTTAGCCCATTGTTGTGCATTTCATGTTTCTGTTCTTCCTGTCTCGTTTTGGTTCTCGGCTGTCTTTCTTCATCTGTGCTGTTGGGAGGCTTCCCTCTCATCTCCTCTGTGCCGTTTCTCATCTCTGCTCCTCCTGCAGCAGCAACAGCGGTGCGGTAATTTATGTAATTCAGACTAATACATCTAGTTGCCCTCAGACTTATTTCTTAAATAAAAGTATTTTTGCTTTTTATAAACCTGGGTTAGATATCTTTTGAATTTTCTAAACACATTTTTGATGTATTAAATCTCTCACCATGCCATAATGTATGATAATCTGTTAAAAAAATCTACTTCCTTGACCTCCTCCCTGTGGTTCTACTGCCATCTGCAAACAAAATCCACTGGTCAGAAACAACCAATCAGAGCCAGGAGGAGGGTCTTAGTGTTGTCAATCACGCTTGTGTATGTTTAAGGTCCAGATAATGTATGCAGTGATGGATTTCAAGCGTTGTTTTGGATGTAGCTTTAATTTTTAAATGAAACTTCTGATTTTTTATTTTTTTGCTAGGCTGTGTTTCGTTTCTTGGTTTCCATAGTGGCATTTGTTCGCTGTTTGCTGACAAACCTCTGAGGCTTTCACTGAACAGCTGGATTTATACTGAGATGATTAAATCGCACACATTCAATTTACTAATTAAGTGACTTTGAAAGCCAGTTGATTGATTGATTGCTGAGCTTTACTGCGGGTATCGAAGCAAAATGTGAAAAGTTCAAGAGCTGGTAAAATACCTCTAAAGTCACTGTGTGTTTCCTCTCAAATAAAAGCCTCCCGCTCACTCTCACTAAATGCTGGCAAAGCGGCGTAGCTGTTTTCAGCTTGCCCCGACTCCTACAAAGCGCTCTGTGACCTTTTTTTTGCTTCGCAACCAAAGAGCACATAATCACCCACCTCCAAAGAAGGAATCAGGGCAGGATTGTTAAGCCTCAGTGAGACTCAGCATCACAGGGACAGATGGGTGAAAGAATGAACAAACATTTATTCATTCTTTTATCCATCTGTCATTCACACACACTATTGTGGATGAGTTTCCCAAAGTGGGCGCTATGATGCATCCCACCACCACACTGAGGTACACTGAAGTTGTTCTGATGATGCAATAGATGAGATTTAGGGAGGCTCGGAGTGCTAAAAATAAATGTATGTGGTGGGATTGTTTGCTTTAAATAAGAAGCCCACAGATTGTTAGGTTTTTTTTTTCTTACCTGCTCTTTCTTAGAGGCTATTCTCTCTCTTCCCTTTTACAGCTGTTTTTGTGTGTTTTATCCTGGTCGACCCCCTTGGGAACAAGAGCTCCCCTCACCCGCCTGTTTGCTTAAAACGCCAGCCTGAGCCCACCGAGGTGAGTCGTCTTGTTTGCGTCGTGACGCAGGCGACTTGCTGATGTCTTCGATTGTTTGTTGCCGTGGTCTCCTGAGAGACGCGCTGTCTCGTCTGAATCATCAGGCTTGTCAGTCACGGGGTGGGCCTGGTGAGCTCTGACTGATTCAGGAATCCCGTGGAGGCAGCTTGTATAAATATGAATAATAGATTGCAGTTTGTTGATTATTAGGATGATAATTGTTCTGTTTATCTTTTTTTTTTTTTTTTTAAGTTTTGATTTGGCCTGTTAAAATAGAAGTTTGCATTTATTATGAGTTTCCCCTTAGTTGCTTTACCTATTTTAGATTTGCAAAGTGAAGAAAAACAATCTTTTGTTCTGAGCAAACGCAGTGATGTTAATGTAAAATTCTTAATTTCATAGATTTTTTTTACTCCGCTTTATCTGGTGGGTCTTTCAGGTTATTGTTTGTATTAATGGAAGCCACATAATTTCCTTTGGGATCAATAAAGTATCTATAGCTTGCTAACTAGTTTCAAATGTTGTTAGCAACATTCAAAGCTTTCATTTGACAAGAAGTTGTTGTCAAATGGTTGTAGCTTGCTTTGAATGTTAGCATTTGAAACTAGCTAGCTAGTTAACATTCGACAAGTTGTCAAATGCTTGAAGCTAGCTTCAGATGTTAAATAGCTTCAAATGTTATTGTCAACAACATTTGAAGCTAGTTTGCTACAAACATTTGACAACAACTTGTTGAATATTTGTAGCTAACCAGCTTGTTGTTGAATGTCATCTGAAATAATGATAGATGACAAACTCCATGCTCTTTCACTTCACCTCCACTTGACACACTGATCTTGGACTCATTCAAATGTCCCACAAGGTATCAAGTTTCTGGAAATGCGCAAAGCTCAGCTCTGTTCATAGGCAATTAAAATTAACTGTACTATCTTTGAAAAAAAATGAAAGAGTGGTCAAATATTCAGCGAGTGTTATGCCAGCACCTTGCAAAAAGCATATCTACAACATTTATTCAAATGTTGGTGTAGTGCATGTACACATCTAACCTCATATGCAAAACTAGGATTAAAGAAATTCCCCAGTAAATTCAAACATATTCACCTAATTCAAGTTGAACATATTTTGTGTGAGTTTATCTAAACTTTTCATTGGCACTCGAAGCTAAAAATCTCCATAGCCCATAATCTCTCCTCTCTTTTCTTTTCTCTCTTTTCTGCACTGTCAGATTTCCCCGAAGCTATGCCTGCCATTGTCAACCTCCTTTTCAACGTGGTCTCCACCAACACCACCATCTCCTTCACGGTGGTGCTGCCGATGGTGAGCCTGATCTCTCTTTTCGCCGGGGTCGGAGGTCACCTCCTTCTGTGGCTGGTGCTGGTGAGGAACCCCCGGAGCCGCTCCAAGCCGAGCTCCGTCCTGCTCCTCAACCTCAGCCTCGCGGACCTTGGAGCCCTGCTCACCCTGCCCTGTGTGCTCCTGAGCGCCAGCTTCCAGAACTGGCAGCTCGGCGGTGGGACCTGCGTTCTGCTGGGGTTCATGACTTCAGTGACAGTAGGAGTCGAGATCTTCAGCCTGGCAGCGTTGGCAGTACTGAGGTATCGCATTGTCGCGCCACGGATGAGGCCGCCTGTTAGGCTGACGCAAGTGTGAGTAATAAATAATGAAGTCTGTTGTTGTTGGAAGGCATTGTCACAAAATGTTGACCCTTTTTGAATCCCATTGAAATGGAGTAACATGTTCTTTGTGGATCTTTTTTTTTTTTTTTTTGCTTTTCTGGTTAAGTCATCTAAGAAAAGTAAAACATTTTTATCTTTTTTTTTTCCAGAAACTGCCCCCAAATCATAAATGAAACTGGACTGGGCTTTTCACATGAAATATGAACATTTTGCAAGCACAAAAACATATTGGAAATGTTTTCCAAATCAGATGTGCCATGTGAATCACATGTTTGAAGCTGGGGTATTTATTTACTTACTGTGGCACCTTAGTGTAAAAAACTGACCCCAATGTGTTGTAAAGATTTGTATTGATGTTAATGTCTAGACTCTAGAAGATTGTTTTTCTAGATTAAAAATGTGGAGGTGAAAGTAATCAAACTCACCATATCCTACACTGAGTGATACAACTCAATATTATGGTAAACCTAAATGTATTTTATTTAACATGTCCAATAGAGTTCCAATGTTGAGCTGCTGTCATACTGTTTTCCTATCTCGAAATATGTGTTAGGAAATATCTCCTAAAATTTGTTAACATTTTAGGAAATTGTTTTTTGCACTATCTGTGCGTCTGAACAAATTTACACATTTTACAAATACATTGCTAGTACAACTATAAGGCACAACTAAAGATGCTCAGCCATATCAAATATTTTCAACTGTTAAAATGTGTAGAGATGCACAAAGATATCGACTGGTATCTATTTTCAGCTTGACCCATCCTGACCGCTGGCCAGCCGGTCAGAAACATCCGATCTTTTTTCGTTCCAATAAACTTTTCTGACATAAAAAGGAGACAGATACAGCCTCCCTTTCTTTCAATACCAGTGATTCATTCCTTTCATGGAGTCTGTTGGTTTCTTGATCTGTTGACGTTCAACTCTTTGTGCAGCAGCGACTCATCTCCCAGACACGTTTGAGAGAGGTGGACTGTTTTCCTACACTGTAAATCTCCTGTTGCAGAACTGCAAACAATGAATTTCTCTTGATAAATAGGAAGCAGCTAAAACCTGCATTGGCAGATAAAAACAAAAATACTTTAGTAGAGTGTTACATTACAGGCTAAATTATTTGGAACTTTAGTTTTTCTACAATATAGAAACACATAGTTGATCTCATGGCATAAAGCCATGAGCGCATTTGTTGAAGAATGTAGAGCAAGATTTCCTAAAACTTTCAATGTCTGCAGTATCTTGGTTCTTCATAACTTGGAGAACTTTCATAATTATAAAAGGCACCGATTCCTAAAAATATTTCCCTTTAGTGAGGGTTAGTAATGCATCCGAAAGTATCTGAATTACCGATAGACTGAAACCACATGCAGCCGGCCATTCGCTGCCTTGCAACATATTAAAGTAAATCTTTACCGGCTTCTGTGGGAGCTTCATTGATTTGAGATGGAAGACATCTAATTTAAACAGTGTGGCACATTAATCAACCCTTCTGTTAAGCTTCAAGCAATCCATAGACCTGCAATTTAATTTAGAGGCAAATTCACATTGGGACAGAGGACAGGTTTTTAATGGTAAATCCAACCGTCGCAAAGGTCGTTCCCCACGTGTGGCTTGAGATGCGTCAGTGAGTTTAAGGTTGCGGTGGGGTTGGTGAAGCAGGTAATGGCTTCATGATCAGATGTTTCCCCTGGAAGTGACTCTGATTCATCTCCACTTGCAAAATATTTGGGGTATAGTTAGAAGAACAGATAAAAGAATCCCAACCCATTAACAGATTAGTGCTTGGATACAAGTGGAGGCTGATGCATAGTCTCAAACTTTTTCTTTTGGGGTGTGATTCTATAAGATTTGCGTATCAAGAGAAACTTCTTGTCCCATCAAATTAACATGCCTCTTGAAGATCTCTAGATTACATTATTCTACACAGAAAATAAGCTTATATTCTGTCCCTGTTTCCCTCAGGCTGTGCACTGTGGTGGCCATTTGGCTGGTCTCAGTAACCATGGCCTTGCCGAAGGTCACCTACGTCAACTTTGACGGCGGATGCACCTGGTCGGTCGGTCAACAGGAGTGGCTGTTCTTCCTGGTCCCTGCCTTCCTGGTGTACTACATGGCGCCTCTCTTGTGCATCGCCATCAACTGTGGCCTCATCATCTCCCACCTCCACCGCTGCAGAGGCAGCCTGGTTGCTGACAGACGCAACAAGAAAGCCACCGCCCTGCTGATTAGCTCCACGTTGGTTTTTGCGGTCAGCTGGTTGCCGTACTACGCGCTCGAGTTCGTCAACGTTCTGTCCCCTTACGTCAGCTCAGCGGCATCGCCCACCAGCAGATTAGATGCTGGCCCATCTTGGACTTTGCCTACTTTCTATCCACCGGCCGGGCCCACTGAGCAAACCCTGACGAGGGTCACGCTGCTGTGGGAGGTGGCCTCTCTGGCGGCCATTTTGTTGGTGTGCCTGGCTCCGTGTTGGAACCCTCCGCTGTACTTCTTGTTGTCACGCCCGGCCGTGCGCCAGCTAAGAGCTCTCCTGCCTTCCTTCATCCGAGAGCAGTTGGGGAGAAAGCCTGCGCAGCGCTGGCGCATTGCTCCGGCTCCACCGCCGTGTCTGCCGGCTCCCAGCGCGGCCTCGGACCCGCTCAATCGGCAAAGCCTGATGGACAGATTGGCTCAGTAAAGATGGCAGCAGCTGGGCTCGCTCTCGTCCAGCTCACACGTGCCGTCAATGAAACGGCGCATGTCCAAAGACGTGATTCACAGGATGCACTGTTCGTGTACGTAACGAGTACACTCATGGCTCTTGGCAACAATAAACTCTCACGTTGGATCATAATCAGACCCCATTCTAGGCTATAAACAAGGTTTACGTCCAAGATCACCATACCAGACACACTTAGCAACTTGCTGTCCGGTTAGTTCCAGCTGGAAGAGGGAGTCAAACCGAATGGAAAATTAAAACTGAAAGGCCAAACAAAGCAATTTCTTTGTGTATCACAGCCCAAATCATCAGTTATATTCAGGTCACTGAACCTAAATATATGAATTCCCACACATGGGACTTGAACCACAGCAGTTTGCTTTTTTGGTGCTGAAGGGCATCAGCTAAACCTGTCCTGACTGGCTCAACCCGTTGAAGCAAATATAAACCAAAACTCCCCACAGGGATTTTACACACAAAACCCTAAGCTCAATGTGAAAAAAAGAAAGAAAAAAAAGCAATCGGTGAATAGGATAAACGGCATCTGCATTGTGGAAAATTGGCGTTGCTCTTTGCAGTCTGTTAGAACCATCTGTGGTGCAGCGCAGCAATGCATCACAACACGCAGTGCAGCCCTGCAACCCCCATTACAGAGCGGAAACACAGGAGACGACGCGCCTTTACAAATCTCCCTGAAAAGCTCGGAGGCAGCCGATTCTGGATTCAATGTCATGGTAATAACCTCGATGAAAAGAAGGCCTTCTGACTTTGACTCGCATTAAAAGACGCTGGCTTGTTTGGAACCCGAATGCTGATAAGTGGCTATTAAAAAGAAATTTGACACAAAGTATTGCATCTGCTCTGCTGGGGGAAAATTACTCGCCTAGAAATGGATCCTATCTGCATCCAGAGTGGATTAATATCACAATGTAAAGGTCATGTTGTGTACTGCCTGTAACTTGGTTATACTCATTAATGAAATATCGAAGGCTGTGTAATTTGTTTTGCTGTTTTCTGTTGACGGTGCAGTTTTATGTGTTGCAGACGTCTGAATGTAGACATTTGCAGAACTATTCACACCCCCTCAACTTCTTCATGTTTCGTCGTGTTACAACCAGGAACTAAAAATTTAGATGTGTATTTAAATTCAGTCTCTCTTTACTCAAATAAACTGCTAATAAAACTCCAGCATTTACCTTTAGGACAGCTGGGGTATTAGCAAATATATTATTTTGGAATTTTATGGCAGAAATTGACACAAAGTGGATTAATGTGAAGGTCAATAAACAATATGTGTGGGTTACAAAACGTTTCACAAAAAAAAAAAAAAAAAAAAAATCCAAACATTTCCAATAGGTTTTTCTCCTGAATTTTCCTGGATGTTGCTCCGACTGCCACAACTGGTTTCCTTTTCCCTGCAGAGCAAATGTGTCCCCACAGCATAATACTGCTGCCACCGTGTTTTACTACAGGGACGGTGGTTTTAGAGTTTATTATGTGACTTTTGTTGAATTTCAATTGACTTCACGAGGTTTCTTATTGACTCTCTTCCAACAAAGGCTTTCATTTGCTTGCTCACCCAAAAGGAGCAGATTTGTGGAGTACATGAATAATCCTGTGGTGTTTCCATGGGGATCTTCGCTGTTTGCCTGATTAGCGCTCGCCGTGCCCTCGCCTGTCGGTCCTGGTGAACGGCTTGTGTGTCGGTCAGTTTTCAGGTTTGTCTTTCTATCTGACTTTTGGGGTAAAGTCATTGAACAATGTTCTGTGAGACGTTCGAAGCTTTGCTGTTTGTCTTTTAACCCAACCCTGCTTTATCCCTGACCCTTCTGCCATTTTCTCCAACAAATCTCTGATGGCTTTACAGAATAGCTGCATTTTTATATTGAGATCGATGTGGACGGATCCAGGAAGGCGGCTTGTGAAGGTATTTTATTCAAGGATATCAGAATATTGGATGTCACCGTTTGGTTTCTATTGCAGCCAAATTGACGGAGACTTGGGCTTATAACATGAAGCGATTTCAGAGACCTGAAAAAAAAAAAGTCAAAGCCATAGCCGTACAGACTTATTTGTTTTCTTGCAGAGAATCAGATGAGAGTATTACTGGAGCACTCCTATTTGACTGATGAATGTTATGCAAATCCTGTTTAAGCCTAAAACATGGAACCCAAAAAAGGGGAGGATAAGCTCTCTGAAAGTGAATCTCTAAAATAACCTCTATGTTACAGACCTTGGAGGATCCACTAATTAAAATAATCAGGTAAAAAAAATAATAATAATAAAGTGTGGTGCTGAATGTAATTTACATCAAAGGGGGATGCTGAACTACACAGACACAAGAAAAGTGCTGAAAACTCTGAACGGCTTCGTCTCTGGTCAAGACCGTCCGAGATGAGGCGACTGAACTCACAAACCTTCACCGATCACGACGTGACTGACGGTGCCGCCTTTTTCAGTTTCTCAGCCTGGATCTGTCCTTGAGGCTGTTGTTTTGCTGTGTGACAAAATTGAAAAATATCAAACCACTTCCTGCAGATAAGGGTGAAACAGAAACAGGAAATATCCAAGTTGGATCCAGATCACAAAATTTGCCTCTGGCGATGAATCTCCTAAGCGTAAATCATTCCTTCTAGTTCCTCACTATAAGGGATGGGCGCCAGAGAATCAGGCTTTATGTCTCTGTGCGTCCACAAGACTCTGTCAGTCATCCTCAGCCCACGTCTTTTTTTTATTTCTTATGGTCTTAGAGATTTAAAAGCAGATCCTTACCTTAATGATGAAATGCTACTTTATAGCTTTTTGAACTGCTCTACAGTAGCATCTCAGATTGCTATGATAATTTTTTGTTTTTCTTGTCTCACAAAATTGTCGTAGATTGTGTTGATTCTTGGATAAATTCTTGTTTTCCTTAAAACAGTGCTGTGGGATGTTCTCATATATATTTTTTACTCCTATATTAGTGATTTAAGACACTTAAAATCACTCTAAGTTGGAAAAAAATAATCACCATTTAACAATAGAAACTTGGGAAGTGTTGAATATGTTTTTTAAGCTATCATGTAACAGATTGATATAATTTGATGCATCTTCGATGAACCTAAATGTAAATTAAGTGCAGGGGAGTCGCTTCAAGCACTTGACATGCTAAGTTGAGTCAATCTTCAGTGCAAATAAAGCGTCTGCACAGCGTATAACGTGATATTAAACAGTGTTATTATTGGGTCATTATAGAAACGTGATTTGACAATGGTGTGATTGGTTAACTGAGAAATTATTTTTGTTATATATGTTTCCTTATGGATTCCTTAACTTTGCCTGCACACACATGCACATCTTTCACTTTTTGACCAGATGTAGAAGATGACAGAGTGAGCTTAAATGTTGTTCTTACTGAAGTGCCTGCATTTTGTATCTAAGGTATATTTTGTATCGTAATAATGTAATTTCTTTGTAAAATATGCAAGTGTAACTCAGTGAAATATAAATTACCCTTCAGATTAAAAGCAATGTTTTTGTCTGCTTTGATTTGACGTTAAACTCTTTTGCAATTTCCACCAACAAATGCACTCAATTCACAGCTTAGTAGAAAATTTGGGGTTAAATCTCCCAATGGCACATCAACACGTGGCAGAGTGGGATTGAGCCTGCAAGAGATCTACTTTTTCCACTAGTACGTCTCAACGAAATAAACAGAAAGGTGGCAATAACATGAAATGCTAGTTACTTCTTGACCTGTTGACATTTTTTGAACCGCAGAACCAAATGACAACCCTAACCGTCTTTTCTTTTTCTTTGTGTCGATATCGTCTTGGCGGCTAATGAGATCTTTTATCTTCGTCGTCTGTCCGCACCGTGATCCTCTCATGATGCACCGCAACCCAGTAAGCTGCCATGTCTCGATGAGTCTGTCTTAATTAAGTCAGAAGATTAGCGAAAGCTTAAAAAAGAAGAAGAAGAAAAGAGTCATGCTCAGCAGGCTCCATTGAGAGGCTCCTTCCCGTTTCTATTCAGCGTGTTTGCTGAATCCCTCACACATCTGCGGGGCTCCGCTGCGCTGAATGTACGGAGCAGGATGAGCTGAAAGAAGATTTAACATCTTGAAAACTCTGGGAGATAATCGTTAAAAAAAGGAAGTGTTTTTCCATCATCTGGATGGGCATTTAAGTGATATCGATTTAGTGTGTGACAGCACTACTTAATGGCCTTATGGAGAATGCCAGCTCATTAATTGTCATTGATCGCTGTGTAATTCCCACGGGGAGGATTTATTTTCTTTTTGTTAAATGTCTCACAGAGAAGTAAGGGAAGTCAGAGTAACAATATTAATGTTCAAAGTTGTAGTATGTTTTATCCACAAAACTATAGCTCGACTTTTAATTAGCAGAAAAAACTGTAACTCCAATCTCTCTGGTAGATGACATTTATTTTTAAGATCTTATTACAAGACTGAGAAAAATGATTATAGGAAAACCTACATCTTTGATCTTTTATAGTGGAAATATTTTCACTAAATGATCGTCTGCCGTCTGTACCTGCTGAATCGTATCAATAAGTTGGACATTTTTTAAAAATCTTTTGTACACTACTTTGTTTAATCAATAGTCATTTTAGAGCAAAGGTTCTGAGCTCAAAATATGTCAATGTGTGTTATTTTTGTGAAATCTTACCCCAGAGCGGAGAATGTTCAAACAACATTTAGTGTTGTGAGGTTTTATTCTTTACAGTCAGAATTATTTTTCATGTAATCAGCAAGCTTCTGCTAAGCTGCTTTAATGTATTTTTTATATAACTGAACCAAGTTAAGAGACACGCCAAAGTTAAAGATAATTATCTTCTTGTCCGTTTGGTTCTCATTAAAGTCGCAGTCAAATGAAATTTGATTCGCATCAAATGATGTGGGGGGGAAATGGCTTAGTGATTAGCACAAAAAAAGAGATTTTGTGGCTTTGCAACACATCAGAGCCAGACTTTTAGAGCAAAATGTCAGTAAAGTCCGTTTTCCTCATCCTCTAACCCAGGGGTCACCAACTCCAGTCCTCGAGGGCTACCATCCTGTAACTTTTAGATGGTCTCTGCTCAAACACACCTGGATCAAATAAACTGCTCGTTTCCAGCCTGTTGCAGAGAGGAATGAATGCTGGTGAGGGAATTCAGACATTTTGGAGCAGAGGTGAATCTAAAAGTTGCAGGATGGCAGCCCTGGAGGACTGGAGTTGGTGACCCCTGGTCTAACCACTTCCTGGTTAGAGGACAACATCTGGGTCTTGACAGCAAGACTTGTGTGATGTGAAAAAAGTGCTCAATCATAACACATCTGAGTTATGAATGATTATTAGTAGGCAGATTTAGGTTATGATTTGACATTTTATCTTTTAAACAATTATTAGGTTACTCAAGCGTTTTAAGACATATCTGTTGATTGATTGGACATTTTATCTTTCAGATGATTCTTAGGTTATGTTACGTGATGACACAGGTGGAGGGTTAGTTCCTCTGAGCATTGGGTTTTATTGTACGCTCATTCTGGAAAACAGACCTCAGAAGAAGAGGGAAAAGTTGAACAGACTATGAACAGGGTTATTGTGTGATTATTTGGGCGGGGTAGTCTCCAAATAAATATGATCGCTTCATACGTTTTGCTGTCAGATGTTTTGAGTAAGTGTGATCCCAAAGACACATCTTTGCATCCAATAGATGCGATTCGTCTTTACCTCACCGACTCTTTTTGCGCTGGGTTAATCCTTCGCACACGAATCCGTGTTGATTTATTGTTCACGACATCAGGGAAACAGAATTCAATCAGCAAAACTCTGGACCTGGGAACAAACCGAGCAACACGACGGCGATGGCAGAGAATCGGGTGATGAAGGAGAGAAACGAGATTTCGGAACACAGGTGTGTGAGTGAGCAGATGAAAAGCAACTTACGAAACACGAGCTGCAGAAAAACATTAGGAAGGTTCAGAGTCGAAATGGCAGGATGGAAAGAGCTAAATAAACAGACATGCAAACACAGGGATACACAGGAACGGAAAACCCAACAGATCGGGACAGTTTCTTCTGGCTTTCTTGGTAATGAAACACGTGTAAGCAGGGCATCAGCTGCTGCTAAACCAGCTGATATTAATTTGCACTAAGTGGCAGAAATGGTTTCTGGTCACCAATAGAAGCTGGTGTCACGATGTTTCATGCCTTTTCCTCACCTCTCTTTCTTTATGTATTTGGTATTTTACTCTGACCAGGATAAAATCAGGCCTAATTTTCAAGGTCCGTAAACACGCGTGTCTACAGTGGAAGCCCTCCCTGGGAGGTAATTTGCAGGAGAGCATGCTTTTTAGCATTCTAGTTTCAGCAGGAACCCACCGAGTCCATTAACATGATGCCGCCGCCTGAACCCATTGTTCAGACTGTTTCTATTAGTTAGCCGTCCGTCTCATTGCTGAAATTGCTTGGTTCAATTCACCAACCCCTGTGTGGACAAACGGCTTCCGAGCCTGTGATCACACGACTGGTCTGTGAAATTAAATCAATCTGTGCCCCGAGAGCTGAAAACAAGCCTGAATCTGACGAGGATGCTGATCCTCTGTTGATATTATGAGGAATTTTACATAGAAAATTGCTCTGAATCCATCCGAACCGTTTTGAAACTTTTCCCCCTTCCCTCCCAAACGTTCATCCCTTTGGCTCTTGCAACGAATGATCGAAGCTGCGCGGCGCAATCTGAAGGCTGACCCAGCTCCTGTAAACTGTCTTTAGAATAAAATAAATCTCTCTCGCATGTGCTCCACTTCACTTCCCTTCCAGCAGAGAGACTGGAGCTCGATTTGAAAGGCCAGGGGCAGAGAAGTGTTGGCAGCAAAGCCTTTCATTTCAATGTGGGTGCTCTCATTGTTTCTGACTTCAGCTGCAGTTTAAATACAGTTCCTCTAGTGTTTCTTGGCAGCTGGTGCCTTGGCTCGTTCAGCTAATCAATGATTTAAGCAATTGGGGGATACTTTATTTATCAAATCACGCCTTGAGCTGAAATTTGTCAACTAATGTCTTGGATGTTCCAGAAAGAAAGGATTAAAAGTGAACATTTCATTTCATTTGCCTGGAAGCACCAGCAAACCCTTAACATCTAACCTCATTTCCACAAAAGTTGGGAAGTTTTCTTGAATGCCACAGCAGCGTTCAATTGAAATTAAGGTTTCGTTAAAGACCTGAGCACATAAATCTGCAATATACTGCTTAGGTGTATTCAGAAAAATAAAAAATAAAAAAAAAATTATATATATATATATATATATATATATATATATATATATAAATCTAAATTCTGCAGCCATCAAGAGCTCGAACACTTAAAAATTAGAAAAATCTGCAACAGATTCAACATTCAGAGGATATGTCTCACAGGTTATGTTGTCAGGGTGTCATGGGTGTAAAAGAAATTCCCACCAAACGCAGAAAATCTCATTTGTATTTTAGGGTTCTTTAGCATCCTGTCAAGAATAGAAATTAACATCTATGTTCCATTCAATTGAAAAAATACCTTACAACTCCTAAAAGGACATTAAATGTTGTTGTAACTCATATTATTCAAGATTCTTCAAAGAGTTGTTGCAGATTGTGATGGCTGTGGGCAGGAAGGCTCTCCTGTAGCAGTCTGTGCTGCAGAAAATCTGAAGAAGCCCCTGATTGAAGACGTTCTTTTGATGTATTACAGTCTCATGGAGAGGATGGTGATTGGCGGGAAAATTTAAATGATGCTCTTGAGCCAACGCTTGCTAGCAGTTAAAGTTATTGCATTTCATTGCAGATTTACAGAAACAAATAGTCCAATCCCACAAATGATATTCATTGTTTTCAAAGAATGGAAAAAAAAAAAAAAAAAAAAAACGAGTTTCTGTGCTTAAGAAGTTCATGAGAACTAATCAGTTTTTTTATTAGTTTTTTCTCCCTGGGCTTCTCTCTGCTGCCCTCTGGCGGCCGCTCCCCATAGTTGTCTCCCAATTAAATCCTCGGTGAAAGGCAACACACCAGGTGAGGCGCACCTACTCTGAGGAAGCCTCACATAGCACAAAGCTGATAGATATTAATTTTGACAGGCGGAAGTGAGGGGCACTCCTTTACTCCATTACTGAACATCCCCTGCCTACCCAACCCAACCCGTCGGAGGATCACTCCACTCTCACTGAGGGACGCGCCTTTACACACACGAGGAGAAAGAGAGAGGAGAGATAGATGCAGGTATTAGCAGGAGGTGGGAAGGGCGGCGCTGAGACACGGCCGTCCAGTGGGACAAGGAGAACACTAGTGGGGATGTGCTGCGGCGCTGCTGTCTTTCCCCAAGCACATTTACGGCGCTACTTAATCGGAACGTAGACGCAGGTGTACCCTCCTCCTCCTCTTCCTCCTCCTCCTCCTCCTCCTCCACAGACCTACTACCACCTATCCCAGTTTCCCACGCGCCAGGGCAGGAACAACAAGAGCACGGTTAGATGAACGCGCGCGCTGCTTCTCTGTTCCGGTGCGCCGCTGTGAATGTGACGCCGGGTCCACAGCCAGCGCAGATGACCTAAAAGCACGCCGCTCTCCCGGCTCCATAAAGAGAAGGCTTATTGACCACCATGGCTGACCAGGTAAGAGACGACGCACATTTTCCACCCGCACTCTCACCACACCTCTTTACACACACACACACACACACACACAACGTGCGCTCTGAGCTGGGGCCGAGAATAGACGCACAGGTGGACAACACACAGCTTCTGTCACATTATTTTCCCCAAAACTCATTCTGCTTTATCTCGCGCGCTCACTTAAACAACCCGTGCTAAAGTGCCAGGCATTTGTAAACCGCAACAGATGGACTTTTAACTAACTACAGCATTTAAACAGTCACATTTTCCTTCCCAATTATTAGGTTACCATAAGCCCTCATAATTTATGCTCTGTTTCTGTGAGCATTCAAGAATTGCCGCATAATGAACAGAAGCTACTACTCTGAAACAGACTACGGGAGAACACAAACATTGCCCGTGGTATTAATTTTGCATCGTCTGCCGTTGTTTGCCCCAGTTTCTCTCTGCAAGCCTGGTGAGGAGCAGATTAACCCCTGACAAACTGCCTCGGCCCGCCCGGTCACGGCTTCCTGCCTCTGCTGCAGACACTCAAGGCATGCCTAATTGATTAGCTCGTTCAGTTAACCTAATTGAGGAACCCCCGCTGATTCCGTGAGATGGATTAGAGTGCGCAAACGTGTGTGTGCGTTTGCGTAAGAGATAGTGCAAAGGTGCCATAGCTGCCACACCTCAGCTGGCATCTTTATAGACGTAAAAGCACTACAGTATACTTAAGTATATGCAATATTATGCCATATTGTACAGTGAATAAGTAGACTGCGTGGCCTTAGTTGACATTACAACCATTTATTGTACCCTCCTAATAAAATAATTGTAAGTAAGCTCTAGTATAACAATATTACACACTAAATCCTGCTGTACTGTTGCATACTATTTCAGTTTTTGCTTATTTTCTTTTGGCTGACAAACAAAAACCCATCCCTTCTCAGTTTGTTTTGCTAGGCTGTATTTATACTTCACAAAGTGGGGCATAATTGTGAAGGAAAATCACACGGCTTACAAAGTTTTCTCAGAAAAAAAAAAAAAATCTAAAAAACAGTGCACCGTATTTGTATTATATCCATTTCACTTTGAGCAGATCCAAACACCTTTTAGCTGCAGCGACGCAAGTATAATCGGTATGAAGCGATAGGAATTTTTTTCCGTATTTTTCATTGCAAAATAGCTCCAACTCATTCAGCTAGACAATAAGAAGTCCCTAAAAACATCAATTTTCAATTGTTGCCACTAGCTGGGTTTCATTCAGCCAGTTGCCTGAATAATTCTAACACATGAATATGATTTATTTTAAACTACACAGTTTCAAGTCTTAACATCTTTTCATTCAGGATTTCTCTGTATTAGGCATCAAATAACTTCCTGTCAACTTTGACCAGCTTTCTTGTTTCGCTTAAAAAAAAATAAAAAAAAGAACATCCCCACCTGAGCTGAGGATTCAGTATGTGGGATATTGTTTCATAACCTAACCATTTTTCTGTATCACTTGTTTGCTGTTTTGGTCTTCATAATGCGGTTTCCCCACTAAACCTCTGAACTTTTCACAGGGCAGCTATATTTACACCAACATTTAATCACGAGTAATGGACCCTGTTTACTAATTTGGTAACTTCTGATGACAATTGCAGCGGATTTATTTAGAGGATATTCAGAATAATTAAATTTTTTTTACCCTGTAGATTTCTACTACGTTCAACAATCACCGTATTTCACAACTATAATCCACTCTAACAACTC